TTAGTTTTTCATATTACCCCAACATTTCGCTTTCCGATACTGAAAACCGCACCTTTTTAGCTGCTTCTTAGAAAAAGTTATCAAAGAAATGGCCGTGCTTCTTCTTTTTTGAAATGGATAGTAGTAAGAAAATCTATAGTGGTTATTATTATAAACAAACAAAAACAGCGTTTCAAATCGCTTTCGAGGCTGGTTATACTGAAAACCTGAGCCTACCCTGAGCTGAAATCGCTCCGCCACCTATGAACACCGGAGACCTAAGCCGATTTCATCGAACTTGAATGTTTGAGCTCAGTGCATGCCTTTGCTTGAAGATGGGGACATGGGAGACATCGCATCTCTCGTGATATCTTCAGCATCCCCAATTCCCTGGATTGCAAAATGTTACGCAGTCCAGAATGAAGTTTGACGCAGAAATTTAACGTTTACCTTTTATCATCATGTTATAAAAATATTGCATTATGATAATAAAACCAGACTTATTGAGCAACCAAAAATGAATGATAAAAATATTAAGGTAGCCTGTCTTGTTGGTCGTGAAATTTCTCTGTCAGATGAGATATTGCTTGAAGTTTTTTGTTGAGTCATTATTTTGCAAATGTAAGCTAGCAGAGTAGGCTAAATTAACAATAATTAGCACTAATCAGTCAATAACAGAAAGGAGAAAATAAACATTTTACATATTTTTTCATGGTAAATAGTCTCCACGGATTGCTCTATCGATCTACACAAGAATCAAGTTTTTATGATGAATAGAAAATGGGCAGGAAATTTTTTTAATAATAGCCCCGTGCTAAAAAACCTAATATTTTTTTTATGTAATTAACTTTTATTCAGAAAAATAATGTCGGTAAACCGAAAAATTTTCAGGACATATACTTGGAGGTATCCTCTATCCTCTTCCGATAGGAAAGCGATTCTCCTTAAAGTGTCTTTCTCGTATGTATTATACCCATGAATACATTCTGTTATTTCCCATTATTGATGTCTACCTAGTGTACTGAAAAGTCGTACAGATAAAAAATCAAATTGCTTATATTTTACTAAAATTAATCACACATACACACACACACTTATATTCAATATAGACAGTGTTTGTTTTGTTACGAAGGCTGCATTTTGGACGGCTAGCGACAAGGAACAATTGAATTTTGAGTAAAAAAAAACTAAAACACACGCAAATACACACGCACACACAATATTTACATCATGCATACCAGAACGAAAAAAATAACTGATCTTTAGGTGTGTACATAAAAACTCTTGCTTCTTTTTTTGTTAAAAATTTCAAATACAGTTCGATAAAATGTTCACAAGCCTCACAGAATTCGGCACAAAGTAAAACTACACATACACACACTTTTTTAACATTATTTACAAAAAGAGAACACATTTTATATTGTTACCATTTGAGATTCAACAAAAACAACAACAGAGAAGAGCTTTTTGGAATGATGCAGAGTACGTAGGTTAACAAAGATAACCAAAATACTAAATATTTACCAAAAAAAAAAAAAATCATCAGAACCAGGCTAGAAAGAGAGATATTACGCATACCAAGAGATCACAACGGAAATGATTTTGAAGGCATTGATCTTTGAAAGTATAGAATCTCTCTATAAATAGTCAGTGTTCTGAAATTTTTACTAAAATTCTTTAAAGTCTTTTGAATAGACAATGTATAATATAGATGATCAATGTTACTTTTGCTTTTGGAATGTGGAAATATCATCATCATTTATCTTCTAATATTTCACTTATATAACTTGTTACTATATCATGCACATTCAATGCTATATTAATTAATTTATTTCTAATTAATATTGTGATTAAATGTTCAATTGTACACGTATCCGGTGATCGTGTATACCATTCACGTAACATTTGATGTGAACATTCACGAAGACCATCGATACGATAAGTTTTTTCAATATCAATTAAATCTACATCATTAAAATTGAATTCTCTGCCGATTTGTTTCCAACATAATCGCAATGGTTCAGATAATCGATGAATCAATGTATCATTTATCTTCAACTGAAAATAGACAAAAGGAACAATATTAATGAAATAATTTTTCACTGAAAAAAACGACTTACATTGCATTTTTTACTTATTTTAAGATGTCTTTCATCTGTTACAATTGTACATCCACACGACAAATGTTCAGTATTTAAATCGTTAGGCAAGATATATGGCTGTTGATCATTTAAAACTGGTAAAGTAATATTTTCTAACATCTAAATATCGGATATCACTAAGTCAGACATATTGTTTTGGATCTTAGAATGATGATCGATTTAAAATAGAAGATCTTGTCAGATCTCTTTGTGTATCCATCTTATACATTTTACTCCATTCGTATATCTGAGAATAATCTTTTATCATTTTTGAAGTCAACAAAAAGAAACAATCTCTTGTTTGTTGTTCAACAACGTTATTTCAATGTGAAAATTGAAAAAAAATGTGATTGATTTTCTTTGTTCCGTTATAGGCATCCTGATGTGTGCATATATATAAAACTGCATAGTTTTTTCTTTCCATTTCACAAATTTAAATATACATATGTCATGTAGAGCTGTCATTTCACCTCTCCTGTTTTCACTTTCAAATCTAATGAAGTAAAAAAGTAATGTTTTTTCTTCTCTTCTTTCGTTTTTTGAATGTTTTTGTTGTTATTATATTAACAGACATTTCTAAGGGTTTCCTATTGTTGACATTTAATCATGTCATTATTATCGGATAACTTTAGTATAAAGTTAAAAGAATCCCTATCTGTGAACAAAAAAAAAAAACTAATTTGCATAACTGATTCAAACTATCAGAAATTAGTCACGAACTATATTGGTGAGACTGATCAACTTCTTTAGTTTAATAAAATCTATTGCATCATCTTTCAAATATTATAAGCCCTATTTCGAACTGAAAATGTAGAACGTATTTGGTTTTTTTTCATACCTGAGTAAAAATTCTACACATATTTTCAATGCTAATTCCATTTTTTAAATAATTATTAAGAATGATATTCAAATGTTCTTCATCTGACAATTGAAAAGATCTTTGAACAAGTTTGTCGTCTAAAAGAAAAGTTAAGTCATTGAAAAAGATTATTTTCTCATGAAAACTAAAACATGATTATTTACCAGTTTCCTTTAATCGACATTTATGATAATAATGATTGAAATAAATTGACTGTTCTACTATTAAATTTAATTCAAAAACTTGCTCATAATTTCCATTTAAATCTTGATGTTCAATAAATATTTTACCAATAACTCCTGATTCAAAACAAGTTTTCTAATAAGAGAGAAAAATATATTTTTCTAAATAAATAATGAATTTTTTTCATTAAAAAAATGAGATATACGTACATTAGAAACAAGTGCAAACTGTTTATCAAAATCATTTTCATCAAAATTTGATTCATATTTTGTTAAACATTCTTCTTCACTTGCACAGCTATCAGCACTAAATATAGATGATGTCAGTCGAATACGGACAATGCCTAAAAATAAATAAATAAAGAATATGGAAAAGATAAAATGATTTTGGATAGTTAAGATGTATGTTAGAGAAAAATGTTTCAAGTCAATCTATCTTTCCATTTTAATATTCTCTCAGAAGCAATATTTTGTGGCAACGACAACTCATCAACTATTGTAGAAAGGTTTTCATATTTAGATTTTTTATTTGAGATTTTAAACAATTATCGCTTTCTTTGATAATATTTGCCTATATTTCTCACTAATACCTTTGTTTATCTTCCTTGATGATCTTGATTGTGCAATGATAACTTTATTCGTATCACTAATGTTTGTCGTTTTATCTTTTGAACATATCACATCTAATGTAAATTTATTTGTATTCGAAAAACATCGAAGATATACTTGACAATAATAAGAATGTTCATCGTTCTTCTTTATTTTTTGTTCATGTCTATTTTCATAGGATACTTCATTTTGATTTGACCAATTGAAACAAGAGGAAGAAGAAGAGGAACATGAATTGATCATTTTCGTTCGTAAATTTTGTAATGTATCTATTATAATCTTATATAATGAAAAATGTGTCAAGAATATTTCGATATATACCGTATTATTTTCATATAAAACACTTGTTTTTGTTTCTTTTGATAATTTTTGCCAACATAGGGGTTCATTATCCATGGTATTACTGTGACAAACGTAAATTACGTTTTGATCAATTTCAAATTGTTTTTTATCGATGGATAATGGTAAACGTAATCTTACAGGATATTGTGGTGAAAATTGCATACCATGTGGAGATAAACTAACGATTGGTGATATATCTCTACTATCCAACGATTTGTAAACACTAACATTGATTGTTTTATCATATGATGATTGAAATGAGAGTTTGGAAAAATTAACATAAACGGGCGCTGAGTCTAATATAGATGTTTCGATACAGCAATGTTCTTCATTTACGTTTAGTGGATAAGAAATAGATTTAACAATTGGATAGAGTTCAAGAGGACTGCAGCCATCACGATTACAGTGTCTTTTCTTCGGAATCAAATTATCATTATCAGTGCTGCTATACAAACGCTTTTTAACTCGAAATTGTTCGTTGATACTGTGCATGTCCAAACGATTGGATGCATCGGATAACACGATCATTTTCGAAAGTCATGCCAGTTCTTAAATAAAAAAAACGAGAAAATAATGATAAACATAAATTCAAGTTTAAGATTTTGATAAAAAAGAGTATAGACTTTCTCCGAAGTTACTATACCTTAGCAATAAAGACGCATAATTCGTCTGAATTCTTTATATTCCTTACCTCAGTTCCTTTGGTTTAAGTTACTCAAATACCCCCGCATCTTTTTTTCTTCTCGAATTTTGATTACAAAATTCATATGAGACAGATATTTCTTAGAATAGGTGTCTTTTCTCCATGTATGAAAATAAAGTCAAAGATGGCACTTAGTGTCTTATCTTGGACAAAGAAGAGAAAAAACAAAAGAGAGCGTAAGCACTTCACTTTAAAACATAAAAAGAGAATTCATGACTAATGAAATTTTAACGATATTTAGATATACGTTTTATCTCAGATATGCTTTATAGTTTCAAGTTATATCTACTAGCAACGAGAGAGAGAGCGAAAGAGAGAGAGAAACAGAACATGTATGTGTTGTGCGTAACTAGAAAACATTATCAAGTATTTTTACTTTTTATATTTTATTGACTTTAAAAGATATGTGCAGGTTTTCTATACATTTTTCAAAGGAGAGAAAACAGAAAAAAAAAGAAAAAATGAATAAGAAGGTAAAGATGTCTTTGCTTTAACTATTTTTCTCTCATATCTCCCCCATTGTATCTGACAGAGGAGAAAAAAGGAAGTAATAAAGAGTTTAACTCATGTCTTTATTTTAAGCTTGCAACAGAGATTTTATTCAGATAGTCTATAAAATGAGCTTTATTGTCTTCAAATGAGTTTTGAATACAATGTACAGACAGATGTTATCTAACAAGAATCCATATATCATCGAAATTTCTCGCTTGTTATCGTTTTTCATGACCAAAGTATAAAGTAAGACTCATGGTTTTAGTTGAAGTACTTTTAAATTATGGGAAAATCTATTATAGAATTGACACTTTGAAGAAAAACGTTTTTTGTGAGACATGTTTCATCATTAAATATACTTTAGCTTATTAAATATATATTAAAAGAACAACTTTTTTTTGTACAGCAAGATGAAGAAGAATTACTTTCTGAACAATTTTCTACTTCAGTATGTACAAACAAGAAACAAAAGGAGAAAATTTATACCTTTTTGTTTTTGCTAAAAACATGTGTTACAGATTCATCATCCAACAACAGAACAGAACAAAATTTTGAAGAAGAAAAAAAATGCCGAAGTTCACGTCAAATTCATTCTAATTAAGAGATATTTAACTTCTATATTTTTTATATGTGTATGTGTAATAGAACACCCCAACACACACACACACTACGTATAATGTATCAAAAGACAAGATAACATATATCTAATTTAATTAATTTCAATACACCTGTTTTAAAAACATCCTTGCAATCATCAATTAGCCATCATTTTTAAATGAATATATGATGCATTCAAGCAACATATTAAACTACAATTAATATTACAGAACAGAAGTGTATAAATATCTCAACATAGATAAATAAGAGATTTGAAAAATATCAACATAACTTAGTTTGATAAGAATAGTTCAATTCTCCAGATGAGACACTTTTCGCCTTTTAAAGATACCAAAATTAGTTGTCACTAAAAATGATAAAATAATTCTGGTTTTCTTCATACTGCATGAACGTTTCACTGCTCGAAATATTGACTGCGATTAATGTCAACTGATGAAAGAGAGAAGAAAAAATGAAATTTTATATAATGGAATAAAAATAAATTTGCCGTTACGTATTCAGCGTAAATGAGAGATGCTCTCGTACACTTATTAAAACAAACACACCATATAAACTGTACTTATATAAAAATAATATTTTACTTTTTGTCACGATCTCCTTTTTTTTTTGACTTTAATATTAATTCAATTTCATTAAATAAGAAAAGAGAGAAAAGGAACATCGGACAAAGCACACATCCGATTTTTGCTTCTTTCAACAGGCGTTATTATGCAAACTTTTAGTAATAAATCTAATGTATTAATACATAGTCTAAAAATAAATTTGTTTTTTTAAATTATCATCTATATAAGAAATAGATCTTGTGACTACAACGAACTACTTCTAATTTTTCATATTTTATACCTGGATGAGCATCTATCTCTATCGGAAGTAGATATAGATATTATTATATGACATTATACAGCCAATATCTAATTTGGATAAAAGAGTTATGGAATTATAATTCAAAAACGTACTTGACATGCTAGGTTAAAGAACAGAAACATATTGAAAAATTAATTTTATTATAATGACATATAGAGAAAGATCTTCAACAAAGGTAATTAATGCAATTTGAAATATGTTCCAACATCAGACCACATAGTTTGTTTTAGTCTTCATGGAGTTTGATAAAACATATTCAAGGGTAAAAAGCATTAATAGTTTACTTTTACGTTATGCACGAGACAGGTAGATTTGCCAACGTGAAACTTTGTTTTATTCTAATATAAAGTTGTCATATAGTCTGCATTTGCGTCAATCAATTGAAACAAATATGACAAAAAAGAAAATTACTATTTAAAAAAAGTTTAATACTAAAAAGTTTAATTACTATATGAAATATTTTATAATCTTAAACTCACGAAGTGGTCAATACAACCATCATAGTAAATAACATCAAACACAATATACCATGATCTAATGTAGACGAAAGCGTATCTCTTATACAGAAAATATAGTACAAACGTGCAAGCCCGAAAGAAGGTATATTATCTATTATTAAAATTAAGCTCTTTGTTGGCTTGTATCGTGGTCAAGACTAAGTAAATACATTTGAAAAATAAAATTTCATCCTCTTGAACTATTTCCCTCTAGCATGTTCGTTTCTTTAATAGAGAGAATATAAAAAAGACACTAGAAAAATGGAATGTTTCAAACGTACCTTTTAAATGTGATGAGTACATCAAACAACAATCGCAGTGAATGATAAATATATTGGCTTTTAATGGAACGAACAATGAGTGTTCATTCAATACTCGCTTACTCTCACGTTAAAAATAATAAAGAATAGGCGATTTTAATGAGACAAAAGAAAAGTTTTTTTATTTACATTAGTATATTCACACATAATTGGGTATATAGTGCTAAATAAATTATTTCAAGTAGCAAAGAAAATGTATTGGAGTATATTATAACACTAAATAATTCATTGATGCGTTTAAAATTGAACACATTATGATTATAACTAGAGAGAGGCGATCAGTTCATCAAATCACAATGGATAATAGATTATATTAATAGCAATATCTCACCATTCACTCCAAGCATTGGAAATGACAGTTCCGAATTCCAGTCTGAAAGACAACGCAACAATTTGTTCTTCAGCACTTCAGTGTTATCAACACGATCTCGTCATAGTAAGAAAGTATTTTTCGGTTTCTCACGGGCTATCTCGCAAGCTATTTTGAGAACCTACTCCTTTCTTCAACTTAGAACTCAACGGTCAGTACGAAAGAATAAGAAAAGTCACAATCCCAGTAAAATACCTATGAATTTTCTGATAGAATCCTATTAAGGTTTCACTTACATTGTCTACGGTCCTAATAAAATCTTATAAAATTTTAATGAAATCAGGGATATCCGAAATTCATGGGATTTGATAGAATTCTATTACAATCCGAAAATGATTTTCATACAAAAACGCAATTACTGAAAAAATATTGCGATCCTAAACAAATCATAACAGAATTCTAAATACAGAATAGAAACCTTGTAGAAAAATATATAGGAAGTGTATAGGAGTTTGTCTAAGGAATAATCTACCCACAGCAAACAGAAGTTATATAGTGCGTATGACGTATAGATCTTTAGAATGAAAATTCTGCTTTTTCAAAAAAAAAAATTTATTTTTCAACAACTTTTGACTAAAATTTCTCGAAACAAAGCATGTCGAGAATTTTATATGATCTTCAAATTTTTATGCAAGGTCACTTATAGAAATTCTTTAATACATAATCTAACATCACTATTTGAAACGATGAAGCCGAAACGATGTTAGTCATTCAAAAAGATGCCGTGATGTTTGCAAGAAAGATATTTTGTTGTAGTCATAACTGTCGGGGTTACGAGAGTCTGCTCATCTGATTCAGTTAGAGTTCTTTTTGATCCTTGTGATGATATATAAGCGTATCTGTCGACTTACTAGTCTTTTCTTTTAGAGTACAATAATGGAAAAAAAGGTCTTTTTTGATTATGATTCATTGACAGAAGTAGACAGACCTTCTTTTAATGCATCATATGATGGATACACAGGTAGAAACATTGAATCGTAATCTACGCAAATGACGAAACATAAACTCATGTTTAGATACGCGTTAACCAATAAGTGACTAGTGGTAGTTGATACATAGGAAATTTTAATTCTAAGTATACGTGTAAAAATGTGTGGTACGAATGGGAAGGTTTAACGCATGCCATTTTTCATCCGTAGGCGCCTAAAAATATGGATGTAAGAATTTCTTGATGTGGCGGTCCTGTGAGTTGACATGGAACAGCGTGTGGGAATTTTAGAACTCGCGTTCACATAGGGGTTGCTCTACGAATGGCGACACCATTGCCTCATATTCCACAACGTGAGTATTAGTGATCGATCGTGTGAAAGTTATCCTGAGCGCGTTGCGATGCTATAAGGCCAGTAAAAAATTGAACATAAATAGCGTGTTATGTCTTTATAAATGATAAATGTACAAGGAACATAATGAATGTTACTTATAATTAAAAAAATGAGTTCCGTCTCACCTGTCTATACCCTAATTTTTAATCACATCTTTTTTTTCTTGTTGAATATCTGCGATTTGTCTTAATATCATATCGTTCTTTCTTTTACTGATGATCGTGTTGTCAAGAAGAAAAAAAAGTGTTTTGTTTTTTTTCCATTTTTTTCTTCTCTTCTCCTTCATTACTATATATTGCGTGTTTAAAAAAAGTTGTTTCTAAAGTTTCACGTTTTCTTTTT